TTTACTCAAATTCTCATAAAGGTAAACATCCTCATTAAATTTTCTCGGTAGACGTCTTTCTCAGTTACCATTATTCGATAGTGTCATTTCTTTTAAACATTTTCCATATCATCTTTGGTACTTTCGTGGTATTTTCCTATGTGAAGATGAACAGAAGTGGACAATAATGTGAGATCATCATCCTCCCAAATAAATATTGCTCTACAGAACAACTATTCGTAAGACTATTATAATATAATCTAACTTTAAAAAAACTTTTGAAATATATGTATGTTGGAGCAGTTGACAAATAAATTAATAAATTTTAAAATACAATCATAGTATGGTTGATGCAAATAAATATGTTGGTATGCATGCATTTAATTAGTAGGGCCATGAATTTATGTAAGTTCCCCTTCTCTTATTATATATAAAAATAAAGTAATTTATAATCATATAAATTTGTAATACCTTATTTTAGATTATAAGTTCAAACTTTTTTTATTTTTTGAATTTGAACTCATGTAAATACTGCACATTAATTGAGTATTGAGAATTTGAGATAGAAAGAGTACTTTATACTTATATCGACGACAGAGAGGAGCATCACTATCTAGCATAAAAGTTGGTACAAATCACTATCTAGCATAAAAGTGCATAAGTTAGATCCAAAAAGTTATACTCGCTCTGTTTAAAAAAGAATGACTCAATTTTCTTATTAGTCTATTTAAAAATGAATTACCCTTTTCATTTTTTGATAATACTTTAATTTCAATTTTTCACGTGGCATGTTTAATGCCACAAGATTAAAGAACATTTTGGTACATTTGACACAACTTTAATTTAAAATCACAAGATTAAAAAGTTTTCTTTCTTTTCTTAAACTTTGTTCCAAGTCAAATTAGACCATTCTTTTTTAAACGGAAGGAGTAGTATATATTTTTTGCAACCAGCTCGTTGGTGTCACATCTCACACGTGTCTATGTCATGCTACTTATAGTAATAATATGTACTATAAGCCTTAAACGGCGATAAATTAGACAAAAAAAAAAAGAGAATTATGCTTGCTCTTTTGGGGGTAAAGGCTAGTCTATACGAAAATGTCGTGTTCTCCCATTATTTACTTTCAGAGTTTTCTTGGAGTGATTCTTTAGGATGAGTGGTGTAGATTTAAGTATGAATTCATCACCATTCATATCTCTGTTGGTCTATTTTTGATAACTTGGTCATGTCATTCAAGTAATTACAATTAATTATGAAGTAAGCTGAAAGACAACAAATAACAATAATAATTACATATCTCATATAGTTTCACGAGTGGGATTTGAGAAAATACAAATATACGTAGACCTTATTTGTAATTTGACACTCAACATGCAACGATGTATTATCAATTTACCATAAAAGAGTAAGTTGAAAGGCATATGAATAAAATTGACGAAAGTATATATGATCTAAACAAAACAGCATATTATACCAACAATCAAGAGAGTGTTGTAATGACCCATAAAATCAGTTTTGAATTTTTATTATAAAATTACCGTTTTACTCATCTCGATAGTTATCCCGAGTCAGTTTTGATCAATTTGAGAAGTTGGTTTGAAAATTTTTGGGTTATTTGTTAATACGATTGTTTAGTTGATGGGTGAATTTAAATAATTAATTTCAATTGGTGATTAATGGGCCAAGTGGTATAGTATAATTAATACCACTTAACCCATGTAAAATAATAAAACCATAAGTAAATAAAGGGGAGATTATTTCTTTTAGTCACAACAAGAAAGAGAGAAACCCTATGACGACGCTCAATTTCAAAGGAGGAAGCGGGAGTGCCTTTAGGTAAAAATCTATCTAATTAGTCTTTCTTATTCATATACATTAGTGTACAGGGTATGAATACTAATCATAACTAAATGGACTGGTAAAAAATGAGATGATCCTTGTTTTCTGATGATACAAATTTAAGTCGGCTGAAAATTGGATCTATACAATTCTTACTAAGCGTAAGTTATTGTGGATTTGTGCAAAACAATTGATAAGTAGTAGTGGGTCTTCATAGTTTATGATATTGAATAAATAAGTGCTAAGGGCGGCCGACGGGAAATCAAAAGAATTCACGTTCTAGTAATTGTTAAACTTTGTTGTTCCATTTATTTATTGTTGGGTTAATTAGTAATGATTGAATATGCATTATGCCATGTACATATGTATGCAAAGAATGGCCGCCATGATGTAGCAGTGATGGTTAAGAAACCAATCTGTGGCAATATTCTTGAAATTAACATATTAAAGTTATACTATTAAATTAGTTGAGATTTTAGGGATACAGTGGAAATAGTAGATGTAATATTAAATAAGTTGGGGGGTTAGATATTACTGGTGCAACGTGAATGTGGGGAAACAGACCTTGTCTGCAATCATTGTTAATAATTACCAAGTGATTGAGGTAATAATTGGAATGTTAGTTGACATCAAGATTTTTGGAACTTGATTATAAACGTGGGTGAATTTTTGGGTCAAGGCTAAACACATAGTAATACGAGTGTTGTTAGTATTCAGAATCTTACCGTGGTTACTTATTTGAATAGATTGCTTTGAGTTGGAAGTTCAACGAGATGGGAAGACTCGAGACCTGGAGTGATTGTTCAATTAATTTGAGGCAAGTGGATTTCTAAACCCTTGTTAAGTGTATGGAATTCATGTATTTCCTTGTAATATGTGTTTAGGGTAATGAGGCTTGGTGATGGGTTGACTTGTCCACATTGATTAATTCTAATGATGAGAAAGGGATAATAAAAGGCAATGTGATCAATTGTTTGTGTGATGTGTTGAGAATTGTTTGAAAGGCTTGTTGAATCATTGTTGATGTTGTATCCTGATTTTGTTGTTGTGAATTGTGCAATGTTTTGAAAATGGTCATCTCTTCATTATTTGTGTGAACATGTTATTTGCATTGTTCTGAGACATGGTTGTGACAAGTGTTATGTGCATTGAGAAAGAATAAGAAAATAAAGAGGATGTACCATTTCGAGGGACGTGTCGCGCGCCGCGACGGATACTATATTTCGAGGGACGTATCGCGCGCCGCGATGGTTACTATTATCGAGGGTCGTATCGCGCGCCGCGATAGATGCATGGACATATATGTCCCCCATGGGTCCCGGACTGAGAGACAGCGGGTGTGTATCATTAGGTCAGACATGCATCACTATACTTGGCATTGCATTTCATTGCATTGCACTTCTTTATTATTGGTGAACTTGATCTTGTGTGTTGCTGATCTTGTGAGTGCCTTTCTATGAAACTTGTGACTGATGAATATTGGGCTTATTGTTGAAGATATGAAATTGTTAAAGTGTTGTGTTGAGCTATGTGCTTTGTAAACTGTGAACTGTTATGTTAGGTTGGTACTAAGCAGGTTGTAGTTGTGAATGTTCGGTTGGGGTGTAAGGAGTACTTGTATTCTATCCCCTTATCTCGTGTTTAGAGGTTTACTTGCTGAGTACCGTGTGGTTTGGTACTCACCCCTTGCTTCTACAAATTTTTGTTGGTTACGAGCCTGGATTTTTGTAGTACTTGTCATTCTCTTCTTTTCCAAGGCTTCTGGGAGATTTGTGAGGTAGTTGTTTGTCTTCTCAGCGATCCTTCTTACTCTTGTTTATGATCTTGTTCTACTCTAGAAACAATGTCATATGAGACTTGTATTTTTCTTTTGATTCAATTGTAATACTTTAGAGGCTTGTACACGTGACAACCAGATTTTGGGGGTATTTTTGAGTTAATTATGAAATTTCCGCATTTTATTGTAATTGGTGAGTGTTAGGCTGACTTGTCTTGGTGGGATAAGATGAGTGTCATCACGTCCATTTTTGGGTCGTGACAAGTGTGCACATTACTACCTAGGCATTAGCTTAAATTAATAGTCATTGTAGTACTTTATGTACGTAGTACTAGTACTTAGTTTCGACAACATTAATTTGGAGTTTACGAAAATGCCAGTATTTTTGGTAAATATTCCTATTTGCTTAGATCATATAAATAATAAATAGTCTCAAACACCGAAAGTCATGGTGTAAGAAACTTCCTCGAAGTTCATTTTAACATATGTTTTAATTGATTTGTATTAAACAAAAACACTCAATTAGCTTCATATATGGAGTTCTGTTATACTTCATAGCCATATATTAGCAGTGTTTGATGTCATATGTTGATTAGGAAATGACATTATTATCACCTTTTTCCAATAATATTCGATCTCTAGGAAAACAAGTTCCTTAAGAAATGAGGAAAATGAACTCCCCAATGAAAATAGGAAAAATAAGTTTTACCAATGACATTCCAAGTTGATTGTGTCCTCTCCACCCTCCAACACACCTCATCTTTACCCTAACCCCATAGTCCTCATCCCCATCATCCGACATTCCTACCTCCCTACCCCACCTTCATAGTATTTATACAAATGCTTTTAGGATAATAGCTTTTGCTTACCTACCGATCAATACAAGAAAATAAGTAAAAAACTCAACATTTTTCATGTCGTACCGAACACGCCCTACATGAAAAATTCTCAGTTAAGCTAATTAAGAGTTACTATACTACTTATTTCTGTTATGTCTGCAAAAAAGTGATGATAAAAGTAAGGCTTTCGTTTTCTAGGAGTGCAAAAGTAATGCAGCTTTTTGTTGCTAATATCTCAAAAGATGTTTCTTCGAGTCTTTACAGCTCCTATTTCATTATTCCATTTGTGTATGCATGCAATTTTTAACTCAAAACTATAACTGTGCTTTGTAAGACGGACGGAGTAGATATAGCTGATTGCACACAGTAATCCTGATTCTTGAACACATACAAATTGAAATAAATGTACAAACGATGACCCCATTATTTCCAACGAATATATAACTGTACAACCAACCGATCACACCTTTTGTTCCAATGAAATAAGTAAAATGTTCCGAAAGTAGTTTCACACTGTAAGGTTAAAAAGAATACTCATATTACCAAAACTGCTTCAGCATGGGATGGGAATTAAGCTGTACAAAGTCGAGTTCATATTAAAATTGAGTAATTATGACTCTTCACTGAAATAAATATGATGTAATCGATCAAACACTCACTACATGCTATGTACAATTCTGAGACAGAAGTAGTACAACAAGATCTAGAGAATAAATAGACTTGTGTCTTCAGCTTTTCATGATTCAGCTTGCTGACTTTCTTTCTTTTGGCGCGACTTGTGGTGGATCCTGGGAAACAGTAGATCATTAAGTTGTCTTTCAGCACTATACTCTGATGAGGCCTGCAAAAAAAACATTCTATTACTTTTTCACGTACACTGGGTAAAAGAAAAATGCAGGCACACAAGAATACAATGAGTGTGTTTGGCAGGGAGGAAAATATTTTCTCGAAAATACGATGTTTGATTAGTTTTAACATTTTGGAAATGTGTTGGCCTGGCTAAATGGGCTGGATCAAGACTGGACTTGGAACAGGTTAATGGACCAGGTGCAATGCTGATCTGTTCCATTAGCTGAAGCAGGACTACTGGAAGGAATAGAAGACCAATGAAAGCTAGAAGATTAGAAGAATCAGAAGACCGAGGAAGTTGGTAAAAGATCAGAGGTGAACTCCATCAAAACAAGTGGATAAAGGAGTGTTGAAGTGAAGCAGAAGTCTTCCACTCAAATACGGTAATGGAAGAGTTTGACTTCACAAGGTGGTTGTGAACAACTATACCTCAATGATCTGAAGGTATAAATAAAGAACTCTTTCACAGAAGAAGATAAGGCACTCACACAAGAAGCAAAGATAGAACTCAACCAAATAAGCAAGAGCTATTGAGAACTCAAGTTTTGACTTATTTTTCAAATGCAGCCTCTGATACAAAGAACTGGATTGAAGAACTTGCTCAGGCTTAGGAGTCTATGCAACTGTCAGGTCTAAAGGATTGAAGAACTTGTCTCAGGCTTAGGAGTTTAGGCAACTGTCAGTTCTAAAAATTCTTGTATTAGGGTGATTATCGAGTTGTATCTTTTCAGCTTTCCTAGAAGCAATTGTTTAGGAATAAACAGAATTAGAAGTTGGATTTCAAGTTGGAATAACTTGAAAAACGAAGCAACTATCTGCGAAGATTATTGTTAAAGAATGACAAAAGTCCCACATCGGTGGTTAATGAGATGGGTGGACTCCTTATAAGGCTTGGGCAATCCTCCTCCCTTTGAGCTAGCTTTTGGGGTGTGAGTTAGGCCCTAAGACCTAATTTAACATGGTATCAGAGCAGGGCCCGTCTCACCCGATGTTGGGACCCCCAAAATCAAAATTGCCCACGCACCAGATGCTAAGCATTGGGCGTGAGGTGGGGTGTTAAAGAATGACAAAAGTCCCACATCGGTGGTTAATGAGATGGGTGGACTCTTTATAAGGCTTGGGCAATCCTCCTCCCTTTGAGCTAGCTTTTGGGGTGTGAGTTAGACCTAAGACCTAATTTAACAATTATTGCTTTGGGGATTAGAGTTAGTTCCTAGCTGCAACTCTTGTAATTTAAATTATGTTAAGGTTCATTGATTTAGTGGATTTGGGTCAAATCCTACAAAGGTGCAGGTTGTGGTTTTTCGCCTCTATGAGTTGGGTGTTTTCACGTAAAAACACTGTCTTTACTTCACTGCAACTATTAGACTAATAAATAGATAGAAGAAACCTGTAAAGTAACAGGGTTCATAGCTTAAGCGAAAATTAGGCATAACTCACGTGAGTTATTAGGATGTGCACAATATCAAGGAGGGAAGTCATTTTCCGTTTACTCTCCCACGTCATTTCCAACTGATGGTTTCAACCCACACAGCCCACCCTCATCCAAACCCCCACCCCTCCACCAACCCCCCACTCCCTCACACCGCCCTCCCAAATTCAGTGGCGGATCCAAAAAATTTATATTATGGGTGCTCAACTATATTTAGCTCGGAAATTGCTACATAGAATGGCTGCTCGGTTAATATATTTCAATAAATTACTAAATTTTGTACTTAAATAATAATGTTTGTCACAAAAGGCAGTGAGTGCTTAAGCACCCATAATACATAATATAGTCCCCGCCACTGCCCAAACTCCTTGGCCCCATCCCCTAAAAGGTAGTTATGCCATGTTATCTTTTTTGAAAAATATTTATGCTTACTTACCAAATACCAAAAAATATGTGAGAAAATCACTTATTTTCCCATGAAGACCCGAGTACCGACAGTGAGAGGAGACTCGGAGCACTTCCCTGTTGATGGAGTTGCACGTATTGACACTATATATTCAGGGTAAGGTGTCATGGTGTGTGTTATTTGCAGATGTAGTTTTGATTGACGAGACTCACAATGGAGTTAACGCTAAGTTGGATGTTTGGAGACAAAACCTGGAGTCTCAAGGGTTCAGATTGAGCAGGACCAAGACTGAATACTTGGAGTGCAAGTTCAGTGAAATGATGCATGAGGTTGATGTGGAAGTGAGGCTTGATACGCAGATCATCCAGAAGAGAGGTAGTTTCATCTTGGGTCGATTATCCAAGGAAATGGAGAGGTTGACAAGGATATGGTAAAGGGTGGCTGAAATGGAGGCTTGCTTTTGGAGTCTTGTGTGATAAGGTGTCACCTAGACTTAAAAGGCAAGTTCTACAAAGTGGTAGTTAGACCAACTATCTCTCACATTCAGAAGATTAACGGATGCCGCAACGATGAGGAGATGCACAGATGCCTCAGTGTAGAGGTGTGAGAGATCGGTTATAGATGGATTCAGGAGAGGTAGATGTAGAGGTAGATCAAAGAGATATTGGGGAGAGGTGATTAGACAGGACATGAGGAAGTTGTAGCTCCGAGGACATGACTTTAGATAGGAAGGTGTGGAGGACACGAATTAGGGTAGAAGGTTAGTATGTATGTAGAAGTGTTTACTACTAGTAGGCAGAAATGTCTTGTCTTGTTGCCCTTTCTATTAGTCGTAGGACTACTTTTGTAGTTCCTTGTTCTTTGATTTCTGCAACTATCCATTATTTTGTGAAGTTTGTTTGTAGTATTATTTTGTTATAGTACCGTTTTGTTACTATCTGTTGTTTTTGTTACTACCGAATGTCTATTGTATTTCCATTGTGTCTTTTCCCAGACTGTCTTTGTCTTGAGCCGGGGGTCTATCTGAAACAATCTCTCTACCAGATCCCACTGGGTGGAACTACATTGGGTATGTTGTTGTACCGCACACCATATGTCTTCAAGGTTTCAACTTTTCTCTTGCTGAGAAGAAATAAGAATAAAAATGGACTACCTTCGATAGTAGAACACATAATCCCAATAACCTAGAAGGTAAGATGAATAAATATAAGAAAATGTATGTGCAGGTTGCCTTCCCCTTTTCCTTGTTCAATTTGGCTTTTCAAAAAATTTCACATAGGATACCCCTTGAGTGGTTTTACATTAAATTTCAATTTTTTGCTATCGAAGACATAATTGAGTAAGTATGAATGTGCCCTCTCTAATTGCTTGGGGTTTAAATAAAGTGGTCACATACTCCATGTTCGCATCACAGCATGCAAAAGTCTTCCTTTCATGTTTCACTGTCAATCTTCTAACATCAACAATGCCTCAGTCCCAAACAATTTGGGGTCAGATATATGAATCCTTAGTGGCCATGTTTCTCACAACCACTCTTCATTGAAAAGACACTCACACATGTTTTGCCAATAACAAAGAATTAGGCATGCATGTGAGGGTATGCAAGACATAAATATGCCTCTTTATCGGAGTAAACTTTTAGATGTGGTGACCACACACATCAATGGGTCTGTTTTTCAGTTTATGTCAAGGACTTTGATCCACATAGAAGGAACTCATTTACGATACAATAGATATTCAACAAGACTAGAAATTAAGGATGGAGTCCCAAAACTCCTAAGAAGATAAAGTATTACAATATCTTACCCGCTTTCTAAATGAAAACCGAAGTGTTTGGACTTGTGTCCCAGCGCAAACTCTCAAGTCAAAACCAAGGCTGTCCACACCAATCAGAGACACCTCCTGCCATAAATTGCAAGAAGAAACTCTAGATGAATACCCCAGCGAGCATCATACTTAATAGAAGATCTAGTTCAGTACGTATAAGACACATTTCCATCGTAAACACAGACAAGTGATGCACACTCATATTTTCAAAAATAAATAAATAACAGACCCGAAATTCATCTGTTTCAATTTAAAATGCTGACTGCAATACTAGATATTGTTATCAGGAAAAAAAGTTTGTTTTAGGTTTCGGACATTTTATCTTCCAATCACATGTTCAGGTTTCTCTTCTTATCTTATCTTTTTAAAATATTCTCCAGCGCATGATCAAGGGAGGTTGAGTTGCATGGTTTTCTTTAAATTATTTTCCCTGTAGACCAATCCCTGGGTTGTACAGCAATGAACTTCTGAGGATAGAAAAAGTAGTAAATCTACTGATCTCAGAACAATATTTGAATCTGAGATTACAGGCTGTAAGGACCATTACCTCCACTTGAATTCCCTTGCATCTCCAACAGAGAGATCTAAGAGCCTGCATAGTCTTCTGTCCAGCAGCTTTAAGCCGAGATATTATTTTGGCAGCTGAATGTACAATTGCATCAGACCTAGCTCTCCTAAAATCATCTAACTCAACAAAGATCTGTGAGCACCAAAATTAAAAAACATCAACTTGGTAATCCCTGAATAATGATGAATATGTAAACAGGAATCTCCCATAAGCAGAAAATGGTCAAAGAATGCAGATATAGAACTGGTCAAATTTCATTTAAAACAATTGAAAGAGAAAAAAGAAAAAAGAAAAAAAGAACATCCCATGGATCTTGTGTACAAGATTCACTTGGTAGGGAAAATCCACAGTGAAATTATCATAACATTTATCATCCACCATGACACAAAACAGTTTCAGAATCCTGCTTACGGAGTCAATTCCGAAACTAGATTTCAACTTGGCATACAAACTTGTATAATTCAGGATAGACATTTTTTCTGTTCAGAAATCGAATGAAAAAGAGTACCCTCTTTTCCTTTTTCTGTTCTAATGATAGTTATTCCTTCATATTCCTGACTTGTTAAATTAAATATTCATTTAGTGTTGCTCTCTGTGCCATCAGAACTTATTGAAGTCCGCAATGATTCTCCATATGACAATAAGTTTCGAGATGACCAAAATAATTACTGTAAATACAGAAATTGCACTACATAAACTGAGACACGTGGAGAGGGAAGAAGGGAATGCTAACCAACAACAATCAGGTTGAACCACATAAAACCTACACACAGTTACCTGATTCCCATTGGAAGAAATTAACTGAATTCTGATCATCTCTAGCTTGTAAAATGAAGTTCCATTTCCTAAGTTCTCATCCTTTTCCAATTCTTCCCAACTTGGGTTCTCTTGTGATGATCCAATCTCATGTTTGTGGCCATTTATTTGAACACCACCCTTTTCTTTGTGGTCATCATCTTTTTCTATCCGGTTTAAGTCCGCGTCACTCAATGTATCTTCAGATATCTGCTTTTGAATCGTAGTGTGCTCTTCCAGGAAGGATGGCCTTAGAAGGCCTTGTATAGCAAGACCTGCAGGAGGCTGGTCCATGAAATCTATGGGGTCATCTGTCACAACCTGAGAAGCAAAGAAGATCACAAACGAAGTGGGTTAAATTACCAATTAGATAGCAGATGCAGAAGGTTTAATGCCAGCATGTGCAGAAAAATAAATGTTTAACAGTGCTGATTTCACTCAAAAGGAAATCGATTTAATGTTTCTCTTAAACTTAACTTTGACTTTTCATGGCGTGAAATCAATGATGTAGAGAATCACCTCAGCGATCTTTTTGGCAAAATACATTGGATGAGAAGAGCGCATCGTTTCTAATTTAGCCCAATCCCCCAATGACCCATCAGAATCCCCATCCTGATCTTCATCATCAACAATGGCAACCCAATCCTGTCAACAAGCATTTAAACTGATTTATCAAATGGAAAGTGCTTACTCGCATTCTAAAAAGTAAAGCATTTGAAATAAATAAATACCTCGTCACTGTCACCATCATCATTGTCATCTTCATCGAGGTCATCTTCGTCATCAATATCACTGTCCTCATCGTCAAAATCATCTATGCCATAATCAACTTCAGATTGACCAAATGATTCTAGTTCACTGAGCATTTCAGCAGTATCTAGGCCAATAATTACTTGCTGCATCGTATTTGAAATTTAAGCAAGCATTCAGAACTCTTTTCTTATCAACTTTTGGTCATTTACAACCTAGCAAGGTAACAAAAAAGATCTTTTTTGATAAATTTAAAAAAGCAGACTTATGTCAGCTTAATCATAGGTACTAACATTATGCATACACATAGCTTCCTCTCACTATTCAAAATTCACTCTCTTTTTTTCCTTTCCTGAAATGCTAAAAGAGCTCCAAGATGGTTGGAACCAACAAACATGTTTAAAAGCAAACTTCCAGTTTGTCTAAAAATAACTGATATTTGAAGACAGGCAAGTAATTACATGACAGAACAGTCTTTCCATGGGAAGATGATTATAGAAACAACAATCAAGAAGTTTCTTTATTCAGACAAACTTATCCTGCATGGTAGATAAACTAGAATAATACAACTTGCACCATTATACATTGATGACATGAACTTCTGCAAAAGGTTAGTACATATCACCCTGGAAGACCGTTGACTAATCAAGAAACATGTAAGCAACACGGCAGAATCATTTGGAAGTACTCACAGAAGGCAGTATGCTCGGTCTGATCCAATCACAAAAATATGTAAATGAACAATGCATCAATTGACCATTCTGCAAACATGAAAACAAACAGAACTTTTTAACTTCAATGTCCATACCACAACGTTTTCTTCGGCTGTCAGAGTTTGCAGGATGTCTTCATCATTCTTCACTTGAAAGTAGATGTCTGACCAAAAGGCAAAGCACATAAACCTTCATAACGACCAAAATGTACTAGTGGTAGGAAAACATGCTAAATGACAAGAATTGAGCAGCTTACTTCCAAGTTCATCAGTTATATAAGGCAAGTCTGGCCAGAAAATGTTCTCCTGTACTTCATTGTTGACCACACCTGAAAACATGAGTGTTGCTTTGCTGTTTACCTACAGATCAAGTAGGAAAACCAATATTAGCTTTCTGAAGACAACTAGCTACAGTGATAAATAGCTATCCGAGTTCATCAGTTATCTGGCCAGGAAAAGTTCTCATGCACTATTTACTAAACCTGAAACCGTTAGTGTTGCTCTGGTGTATAACTAAAGATCATGTGGTAACGGAAATAGTATTATATTTGCTCATGACAGGGTAGAGGGAAAGCAGAAAGATATTGAGAGCCTGGGAGTAATGTCCTGACACTGGAAGTTTGTATGACTACTCTCTGACCACCATGGATGACCCTGGATGCTATCCAGCTTTCCAAGGGCATTGTGAAACAATAATTCAGTAAGGAAATAAAATCTTAAGTGATCCCAAACTTTCTGTTCTTCTTTCTTTATAATATTTCCAACACCTAATCACTAAAATATCTATACATTTGCATTCAAAATCAGTATATGCTTCCAACATACAATCAAATAAAGCAAACATGATACAATAGTATTTATTGGTACCTCAATGATTGTTCTAGCAGTTTCAGCTGGTGACAATTGAGCTTCCTCATTCTCCCCATTTTCCGAATCCGAAATGTCTTCAAACGGATGATACCTGGATGGCTTCGCATTCTGTTTCACTGGTCCAGAACTCGCACTAGGCTGATCTCTCGCACTTGCTTTAATCCCACCTTTTCCCTTACCCGTTCTTATTCTGCCACCACAATACTCCGTCGTCAACCTCCTTATCTTATTCCTACAAGCAAACAGTACATATACCGCAACGAGTTTACAACATCATTTGAGCTTGCACTGTGTGCTTTTAACTGTTAGTATATAATAATCAGCTGGATCAGTAATAGAAACAGTAAAAGGAAAACTAGTACCGAGGGATGAAGAAACTGGCGGAGTGAGAAAACCAGCGGGAGGTGCGGTTGAAGTTACCGGCGGGGAAACGGACGGCGACGGCGGCAGGTTCTACCATAAGCATTTTTCAAGTTTTCAGCAACTGAGGAATTGAATTAACGGGGAGAGATCGGTGAAATAGAAGCAAAAAGTAGAGGGGTTTTTCAAAGATCTTCTTCGTCCATCAGTCTGTGATTGGGTGTTGTGGTTCTCTTATTATTATCCATTTGAAAGCGCTCGCTTGTTTCTTCTTCTTTATTCATTAGCAATATGCGATAAAAGATTCCATGTCTGCTCCCATACCGTCCCTACAGCTGAGTCCACCTGCCAAAATAACGGTGTGAAATTACTGTAATGCCCTTGAGATTCATTTGGTTTACTTGGATAAACCCTTCAGCTGAGAAAATATCTCAGTTCTCCATGTGTGCGAACGGACTTTGTTCTTGGGAAGCCATTAAAATACAGTCTCACTTTCAGCTCTCAATTAGTTGTGAGCATTTTCTGGTAAATCTTTCAGTCTTTTTTATTTTTGCTCGAACCCATGTTGGTTGCAGTTATTGACCCAAAAAGAGAAAAAAAAATTGATTTTTTAACCTCCCAAGCTCCCACCCTTTTTTGTTTCCGGTGACTCGAAACCACTACCACCGGGTGGGAGGTGGAGATGGAGGGTGCTTACGATTCGAGCAATCCCTTTCATCAAAATGTAATTTCTTTTCGATGGGGAGTGTATGGATAAGGTTTTAAAATAAGGGAACCGATTTTCTTACCCCAATTGAGTGCTATTTTATCTTATTCTTGGATTGTGTGTTGCAGGAGTTTCAACTGATGCTTTTTCTTCCCCACTGAGAATGCTTTGTTTGAGGTATTCTCCGGTAATTTTTACTACTAGAAGACAGCAAACAATTCAGCTCCCCAAGAACTATAATCGTAACGTTGTGGTAAGATTCTGCAGATTTTCTTGAAGCCTAACAAATTTGTTGTTCCCACACTGCTATGTCATAAGTTCTATATAGGGTAAGCTGCTAGCTGCAGTGCTAATGTCAATGTGTTTGAAAGTTATTAGAAAGTAGTAAGAGAAATGGATTTAATATTTTGGAAAAGAAAAAACTTGTAGAAGTTTAGAGAAACTCTACGGTAACTGTAAAGGACTTCAATTTTCCTTCAGGAGGAATCAGATGTTGCCTGACTTGGACGTTTAAAAGTAATATGCTCAATTTGGGTTCCTATGATTCATTATTGTTTGCCTTGTCTTCCTTTTTCTCTTTTAGGTACACACTGCTCTTTTCTATTTCCTCTCTTCTTGCTCTTGAAGTCACCTCTCTATCATAATTCTGATGTTTCTCAGGTGTGCGAAGCTAAAGGTCCACGACCAAGGTATCCTCGAGTGTGGAAAACAAAAAAGAAAATAGGGACCATTTCCAAGTCACTGAAGCTTGTTGAGTGTGTAAGATTTTCTCTTTTTACATTATTTCTCTTTTGGGTATGATTTCAAGACAAAAGGTTTCAATTTCTCTACATTAACAAGAGTGTTTGCCTCAGGTTTTTTGTCTTAGTTGCCCTTCTGTATACGCATAATCAATAAATTGTACTATTGACCACCCCCCAACATGAACAGGCACCTGCATCCTGAATAATGATATAATATATAAGTCTGGTTTAACAGAATTTTTGCTTACTTTTGGATTTTCTCTTTGTAGATAAAGGGATTATCAAATGTCAAGGAAGAAGTCTACGGAGCGCTTGATTCTTTCATTGCATGGGAACTGGAGTTCCCTTTGATTACAGTGAAGAAAGCATTGAAAATTCTTGAGAATGAAAAAGAGTGGAAAAGGATAATTCAGGTATCATCTTATCTGGGGCCCTAAGTTTTCATTCCTTAAAAGGCTTATCAGGTCCTAGTATAAATTGTATCAATCGAGGGTATCTAATTACAGGTGACAAAGTGGATGTTGAGTAAAGGTCAAGGAAGAACAATGGGAAGCTATTTTGCGTTGTTAAATGCCTTGGCTGAGGATGGAAGACTTGAGGAAGCTGAAGAGCTTTGGCTGAAACTATTCTCTCAGAATCTGGAAAGCATGCCTCGTATTTTCTTTCAGAAAATGATAGCCATATACTATCACAAGGAGATGAATGAGAAGATGTTTGAGGTATCCTACATTTTTTATGCCTTCCCTTTTTCTTGCTTCTGTACTCATTCTCTTCAATTAATTGGTTTCTCTCCAGTAATACCTAGGTACTTCTCTTTTATTTTTTATTTTTTATTTTTTTCTCTTTTATTTCCATGGAATAGTGCCTTTTGATAAGTGATTTTGTTCAATGGTAATGGAACAGTCAAACTATATGCTACAGGACTTTGGCAATTAAGAAGCATTATGTGTGTGTTTTTCCTCTCTTTTTTTTTTTTTTAATAAACTTAAGAAGCTAGCAATGTATTAATATAGTAGTCTAAGAAGTATTGAGGTAAAACCTAATGTACAAAGGAAGCAATGCAAACATAGAATTTCAGAGAAGTGGCTCTCAGAAAACAAATAAATGAAAGAAAGTTCACATTTCATCACTTGAACCATTGTGTGTTCTTATTTTGGTCTGTCTTCCCACAGTGAGAAACACTTGGGAGAACGAGGACAGCTGACTACCCCTAAAAGTCAGACTAAGAGTACTCATTGTATGATTGAAAACTGCCGCTGCATACTACCCAGTGCTTGCAGGTCTGACTGGTGCCTTCTCTCCAACAGCTGCCTATTCATCGTGCTGTTCGGTACTTGAATATGCTTGCTGCAGAGAAAGACTACTTTTCTATTCGCTTGCCTGCACGCCTCTACTCATGTGGGACTGACTGTGCAATACTAATAATGGATTTTTGTTCTTATTTTGGTCTGTCTTCCCACAGTGAGAAACACTTATTTTTCCATTTGAATGGAACCTTGGTTTAGCTCTTTAGATAGAGGAGTCAACAATACCATATAGAACTTAAATGCGTCGTCGGGTTTTGCCTCGTGTCATCCCTTATTTTAAGCCAATTTCTCAATACCGCCACAGCCTTCTTCACATACAAACACCTTGAGGTTGTTAAGACATATATAAGAGATAGTAGCAAGTTTGCTATATGTGAGGGAGTTTAGGGTGCTTAGGGAATGGGTAGTGAAGACAGAAAGTGAGGTTAGTAACTGCCAAAAGAACTGTTTATATTGCAACAACTAAACTAGCTCAAATCTGATATGTTGAAGTTACAGATTAAGCACAGAAATACAGGAAGGAAAATAGAACTAAGCCGAAAAGAGAGTATTTCATATAATAAACACGGCTTCAGTAGATGATTTCAGCAGAACCTGTACGTGTAAAATAGATTAAGCTTTTGACCCTTCGGGGTGGCCCAGTGGTTTGGGCTTGGGACTTCCATGTTGGAGGTCTCAAGTTCGAAACCCCTTGCCAGCGAGAGCAAGGGGTTTGCCTTCTGGGTCAAGCTCGTCGCACCGGGCTTGCCTAGTGCAGGTTACCTCTCCTATGTGGTTTGCGAGCTATTGCATAGGAGCGGAAGTTTTACCCTGTGCGCTCCCAAAAAGTAGCAGTTGCGGGTTTTCCTTGTCATAAAAATAAAATAAAAAATAGATTAAGCTTTTGATGTTTGTGTTCACACAGTGGTGGTGTTCACATTTATTGTACTCTTTAATTGTGGATTACCTATCATTTCTAGATGATAACTAAATATCATGAGGGAATATGAGTTTATTCCCTGTATGCCTAGCCATCTTCAGGGTTGCAATGGATGGAAAGTGAATCCTTCACAACCATGTTGGATAAGTGGGTTGGTGCCTTCAAAATAGGGCAAGATTTGGCTTGTGAAAGTAAGTGCTATTGTAGGGCAAGACCAAGCTAGTACGGGGTTATTGGTACGAGTGTTGCACCAACAACCTCTTCGGGAAAATAGACTTGGTACCTTCCATCACGGGAGAAATTATTCTCTTAGAGTGAGCTCTAGCATTAGGTTGATGCCAAAACTAGCGGCAGGGCGTGCTCATGGGCCTCAACAACCGTAAGAAAGACTTGAGAGCAAGCTTCTTTGTGAGAGTTTGAGTGTAGGTGGAGAAAGCCACCATACCACTGAATGTGTCTACATACTTTTGCTTCGACTGTTTTGGTTTGAGAAGATATTGACAGCAGTTGGAAGTGTTTGGGATTCTCTTACTCTTCTTTCAATTGACACTATATTTTGGTAGGAAGCTTTTTTCTCTACATGAACCATCAATGTATAGTATTCTTAATTGAATTAATGTTCCATGTCTGTTTCATTGCTGATATCTGGATTTGAATTCCTCTGCAGATATTCGCAGACATGGAAGAGCTTGGTATTAGGCCAACTGTGCCAGTTGTCACAATGGTGGGAAATGTTTTTCAGAAACTGGGAATGTTGGACAAGTACCAGAAATTGAAAAAGAAATATCCACCCCCAAAGTGGGAATATCGTTACATAAAAGGAAAGAGGGTTAAAATAAGAACAAAAGATCTTGATAAATCTCAAGATCATGATGTTGAAAGTAAGTCTGAAGAAGTAGATGAGTCTGAGTTCGATGAGAACTCACAAGATCAAGCAGATGAAGTTGATGAAGATTATGTAGAGCAAATCAAAGACGTTGAAGAGTGTGAACCGGGTGAAATATCAATTGTATCTAGTGAAACAAGGGAATCCTCTATGTCAACTTAATGATTTGAATTCCTATAAAGTTATCATTCGTTTGACATTTATTGTTGTGTTTCCTCTCGTGTGATGAATTTTAACTGCTCATTGTCAAATGAACCAAGAGGAAAACCCAAAACTGTAGCTGTAATTTAAGTTAATCTACCCCATGACTGCAATGTATATTCAAGTGGAATGAGAGAGTAAGAACCAAGTGAAGCGATTTTTAACCTACAAATATATCAAGAGATGAGTGGTGTAAGTAAGGGTGATAAAACCTGCCCAAGTTTAGGCTGGTCCCTTCATTTATTAATTCAATTCATTTTGATCTGCCCATTTAAAAGTTTGAGTTGATATATTATCAAAATTGATCCATATTAACCTTGTCAAAATATTTTAAAAAAGATAATAGTTTTAGTTTGATAAGTATAACAATAAACAGACAAAATTATAAGGTACTTAAACAAATTATAAGAAAACAAAAAGAAATCAAAACTTATAAATAATTTAGTAAGTTGGGCTATGATCTATTGTTTACTCATTTTAACCCAAGTAAGTGTAATCTACCCATTTATTAGTTCAGTTTAGTCTAAATCACCCAACCTGCCCATTTGTTAATTCAATTCAATCTAAACCACTCAAATTCACCCAATCTGCCAGTTTATTAGTTCAATCCAGTATAACCCGCTCAAATTCACCCAACCTGCCCATTTATTAGTTCAGATCAGTCTAACTACCCCATTTCAACCCAACCTGCCCAGTCTACCCTTTGCAGCAGAAATGGGTTTGTGGCCGTAAAGGAGCAAATCCCTTTGAATCTATAACCTCATGCCTATGCCAAGAGGAAGATTATCCAAGTTCCTACAAAGGCGATGGTTGAGAACACTTGTAGGAACAAATTTTTTCAGGGGTAAGAAGAGGGGAACTACAAATCAATGAACATGCAGAGTAAGAAATGTGAATGGGAATAAAAATTGGCCAAAACCATGTAAAAATGTTAGGTAAAACTCTTAAATTAACTTTCTCAAATTGTGATCCATTCAGTGCCAAGAAGCCAACTCTAGAAAATGAATAGCGTTATTCCAGCTGATATTAAAATACAGACCCCATCATGCAAATCGGATTTGCCTTGGAACTTGCTTTCTACCCTTTCTTCGAGCGGAGCCATTAGCAAAGCCCTTTCTACTAGAATTATTGTTTTGTTTGTCAGCCTCATCATCCTCGTCTTCATCCTTGTCTTCATCCTCATCCTCATCCTCACTATACTCGCTCTGGTCACCATCTTCATCTTCTTCAATGTCATCTTCATCTTCATCTTCAACGTCATTCTCATCCTGCACTCCCCCAGCAACATGACCACCTCGACTTCCAGCTCTGCTCCTTTTCAATACTTTTAGTTTTAAGTTTGTCTTTGTGTCGCAGCCAACCCATGCGTCACACATCAAATGACTGTTTAAACTGTAATTTCCTGCCTGTGGAGCTTGGATCTTGCCCAAGATCAGTCGGCACCCTCTCTTAACTTTCGCAACAGCATCTTTAACAGCGGCAGCAATCTCCTCCATATTTGCCCCCGATGCTTCCATTTTTGCTTCGGTTATTGTTGAAGCAGTTGTTATGGCTGCTGCTTCATCCATAAAGTTGATACTTTCAGAAAACCAGACATCGTTTGAATTGGCATCTGCAAGTAAAAACCAGAAATTCTCTCCCTTGGGGAAGGGATAGTATGGAGCATGTGGAATAGCTGCGATCAAACCATTAGCACGTCTGACTGTCACCCATGCCTGCACAGTGACAATGTCCCCCTCTTGGATGCCTTCCTCGCCCTCAGTCTCGCAAGTAACTTCAATTGTTGCACGAGGCATCAATTCTAGCACCTTCTCCACGTCTTGTACTTCAGCAGCGGATAGGCCAGCAACATCAGAAAGCAGCTCGGCACGTTCTTGAAAGGTCATGTCCAGGAGGTTCTGTAGCGTACGCACCTTCCATGGACAAAAAAGAGTAAAGGTTATGACTATGACAAGAACCATGTCATGAATAATGATTAAACAATTAGAGTGTGGTAAGTATGAACAGAAGAAAGAATGCTGCACGTACTCACACTCAAACAACCACATTTTCCTAATAACGGTCTATAGCTAACTTCTCAAGGAACGTCTCTGATATGTCTGGATAGGAAAAGATGCTTACCTTCTTCGCTATCTTTGTAATGACTGCATCACTAAAATGTGGAAGCTGTAAAAGCGAAGCAACACCATCAGAGGATCCTGAACCTGCCTTCCTAGCACTAAGGGGAACGGCCTGCATCCACAACAGACACACAAGATTCAATATTCTGAAAATCTGAAGCTTTTATCTTAATGTGGATAATATAAGGTTGCAAGATACAATGAAAAGGAGGCATGTTGACAGTGACCTACCAACTAGGTCGGTTTGGTCCAGTTAAAACTCTAGGGGGATGGAACCAGCTCAAAGCCCCAATTTACTAGGTTTTACTAGGCGAGCCCCGGGTTTGTTTGTTTGTAACTTATTGTTCATAATTTTGAAGAATGTAAGACATTACATTGTAAAATGTAATTATTAATAAAAAATGGAAAAAAATATATTGAAGAGAAATATCTTAAAGGTTATTTACTTTCAAAAGAATTCCAAATGGAATACTTACAAATCTTAAATTGAAACTTCAAAAATTATTAACGGTAGATGTGGCAAAATCAGCCCATGAAATCATAAACCGACCAACCCGACCAAATTTGGGCTGATTATTGACCCGTCCATTTCAGGCCATCAAAGTTGGGCTGATATGTACCCCACATTAATCCATGAGAAATTTTGTCAAAATATTTTCAAAAGACATTTTTTTATTTGGTATGTCATATATACTAATATAAAGAAAAATAATAATTTTATTAGGTACTAAAAAAATTACAAAAGAACAAGTAAAGCATTAAAACTTAGTAAGGCGGGTTGGATTTTGACTCGCATTTCTACCCATTTCAGCCCAAGTAACTTTTGAATGGATCAATAACCCACCCATTTATTAACTCAACCCATCTTGACGACTTGTCCTGCCCAATTCAGCCCAGCCCGCCCATTTGCCACCTCGAATTAACGGCAGAAGATTACAGAGAAGCTGATGATTATTCAAAGAATTCTTCAAATTGAAACCTCAAATATTATCAAAATGTAAGTTACTTTTTATTACAACCCCACCCGGTCCTGGTTCATTCCAATAGCTAGCCTATCTCGGTCTGCACTGATTTTGGGCGACAATCGGGACCAGCCAGCCTGCCTGGGACAGTTTTGGACCCCATTTTCTGTGCCTGTTAGGTCGGTCTCCTGGGCCAACCAGTCTCAGTTTCCAGGTCTAGTCAACAAGGAAAATCTAATTTGCTCCCATGTGTATGGTAGAGATAGTAGGTTACCTCCCTTTAAATCAAAACATAATCACTCCAAGTCACAGTTGAAAAAGAGGGTAGATAAGAAACCAAAAGTTAAAGTTTAAAGTCAACTTATATTAGCCAACACATACTAAACAGCAGCAAATCATATTCATGTACAAAAAAAAAAAGAAAGGATGGCTGGTTGCATTAAATCAAAACATAATCAAAGTACCTCCTCATAGATGTAAAGACTTTGCTAAATACTCCCTTTCTGCTAAATCAACCTAAACTTTAGCAGTTGAATGATAAAACTATGCTTACAGTCACTTTAGTAGTAGTAAATAAGTCATTTGACACGATCACAGAAGTATTGCTTAAACAGCACCAAATCAAAGACCTGAATTATGCACTGGGAGAGCTCGACGATTCCAATTGCAGGCCTTAGCCAACCATGTCCCTTAGCAGTGCGTGGCACAGTTGCCATCTGCATGAACAATAAACAAGATGACCGACTCCAAGTCACAGTTGAAAAAGAGGGTAGATAAGAAACCAAAAGTTAAAGTTTAAAGTCAACTTATATTAGCCAACACATACTGAACAGCAGCAAATCATATTCATGTACCAAAAAAAAAAAAGGATGGCTGGTTGCATTAACATCAGACAATCTCAACCTAAAAGAAAAGTTGTTTGACAATATAAGTTCAAAACTACATCTATAAGATATCAACTAAACTATCTAGAAATTAAAAAAAACTAAACTATTAGAACACATAATACTGATTAAAAAAAAATAAATTCAAAGTTACCATCTAACCGCCATAAATATGCCAAGTAATGTGAAATACTGTTCTAATATCTTCATTCTGCCCTCACAATTTACATTTTACTATGATGCAAACGAGAAGTAGATAAGGAGTCTGGATTGTTGAAGATCAGAAAGGAGAATCTAAAGAATGGAAACTTGGTTAGGACAATTCTTCAAAACTTGATTGCTAAAAAGCTTGTCAACCTAGACTGTTTATGTATGTCAAACCCAGGTCAGTTTCCCGAGAATGTTACAGTTTGAGCTTGCCTTTTTATGTCTTACTCTATTTTCATAGCAATTTTATAGTAGTCCTTTTATTTACTTAGGAGTGTCTGTCGTGGTTGTTCTATTTGGAAAATAAAAAGCGGTATTTTTTTAGCAAGAAAAAAAAGAGAATTACTTCCATTTGGAGTGCCTATTAGCTTTCCCACCAGTAACCTAGTACTTCCATAACAAATTCAATATATCAAATTCAACTCAAAGTACCGAAAGTCGGCATACGTGCCATCTAACGAATAATAATAGCATGAAACTTAAACCATCAGATGTCAAACTGCATGATACTAAAAGTAACGCAAAAAATTACCTTGATTAGCCCTTCCAGAAGGCGAGGTGTAAACTGTAGCACATGTTTGTAATCTTGCTGCAAGTTACTAGAGAAAGTGTCTGCTTTACGAAGTAAATGGGCTTGAATCAACAATTCGGCCTGACAAAGAAAGGAAAATAAACTTACTACAAGAGATTTATGGTAAATACAAAATGCTTCAAGTATCATGATTCATGGCTATCTCTTTTGAACTTCACCTTAACAATAGCCGGATGTTGTTTCCAAAATTTTGCTTGCTCCTGCCTGGCATTCTTACCATCCAGGTTCAGTTCACTT